AATTACTTGCACTATTCTAAGTTGCTAAGGAAGCTATGTTTACAAGAATGCTCTTTAACAAACTGTAGGTTAAGCTGCCTAATTTAACTATTATAATCTAGTACAACAACAAGCAGACAATCTAACTAGTAAATAAAGAGATATTTTAACTTTAAACTAAGCTCTAACATGTTAACATTTATAACTACTAGCTCTAACAGGAAGTCTCTTAACAAATAATTAAGGTTGTCTATGTCCCCTCTAGCAAGATGCTTGCGGACAGACTTACTAAAGCGCTTCTAGCCAGCAAATGGCTAAGCTTTCTTCAGCAAATTCGGCTAGTTGATGTTAGGGAGAGGATAGTTAGTCAGGAAGCAGATATGGAAGAGATTGAAGCAAGAATGGAAGCCCTGGAAGCATACTAAGGTTGCGCAATTAGGGACCAGCTTAAAGCATGTCCAAGCTAAGGGGGTGTGTCAGATATGCGCACCTACTGTCAAGACAGGAGGAACGTTTGACGAAAGCTGCTACATAGTACGAGCAATAAGCTCAAACAGTATGTTGCCGCAAATTGCAGCATTTTGCAGCATGTTGCAGCAAATTGCAGCAAATTGCAGCATGTTGCAAGCTGGTCGCGCATAGGGCTAGTGCGCGAGGGACTCGGATCGGCAGAACAAAAAGCCGAGCAACACGAGTAGAGCAGAAAAAGGATTAATAAATAAACACAACAATACAATTAATCAATCATCCCATACATTATATCCAAACCCATCATTCATCTTAGGAAGCCTAGAAACAGTGCTTCAATCTAACAAATTAATCTGTAGCTTTAAATCTATATATAAGAGTTTCTAGACTAGATAAAGTCTTCTAGTGTTAGTAAATAATAGTTATAGATCTAATTAAGATTGTTTATAATGTAGCATGTTAAGCCTAAGTTAAGGATAAATAATTCTCTTAGCAGATATCTGTTCTAGTTTAAATTAACTATAGCTAGTAATGCAGCTACCTTAACTCTTAATACTTTCTAGCTTTTAAGTTAGTCTTCTTGTATTTCTAGTATAGGTGTATGTAAACTTTTTAAGATTAGTATCTTTAAATTATGTCTACGCTGCCCTCTTAGTAGGCCTTAAAATTCTAAGTTGTGCTTACGCTTTAATGCTACAAGCTCTTTAACTCTTTTATTTAGCATCTACTAGTCTAGTGCTCTGTCTAGATAGACATAGAAGTAGTCCTTTAGTACATAGATATGTCTGCATGTAGGACATTTAGTGCCTCTTGTTTTAGTAGGTTTCTAGCTTAAAAATAACTTCCTATTATTTTTTTAATAATGTTAATGTTAAGGTCTACCTTGTTTTCTTAACATTGCAACTTCTGCACTATAGGCGTCTCTGTTTGTGCCCTAGGTAGTCTTTCTACTTTTAGTAAGGTATAATAAGTTATCTGTTGTAAAGGCAGCTTTATGCTTTTTTATATGTATTAGATAATTTAACATTATATGTTTTTAAAAGCGCTTTATTATTTCTTTTTAATTTATATTTAGTGTAAACTATCTGCTTTTCTAAAAGGTTATAGACTAATAAGGGGCAACTTTATTTATAGTAGTTAGAAAGTCCTTTGCTACAGCATTAAACTGCATTATTTCTAGAACATTTTGTGTCTCTGCTTCTGTGGCAGCGTAATTATACTCTGCTAGCTACAGGTCCTATATGCTTGCGTTTCTTAGTAGCTTTAAGGATGCATTATATTAGTTGCGCGCACGTTCTTATTTAAATTAGTTATTAACACTTACTGTAGCTTTAAGGTTTGTAATCTACTGTCTAAGTAGTTAATCTAGGGAACAGCATGTACACTGCAGATGCAGGCTAACTGTTAACTAGATAAAGACAATAATCTATTAGAAGCTTAATTACTCTCTTTTATAATTATGTCTGTTACTCTTGTACTTGTTAGCCTTAATCTTATAGTATTTAATAGCTTCTTTAAAGGCTCTAACACTGCTTATTAATAGCTTGTTTATATGCGTAGGCGTTTTAACGTTAGAGGCTAGTGAAAACTTAGCTATTAGCGGCATCTCTAGAGCTCTTAGTTTAGAGATCATTTAGATGGTCAACTTAGGATCCACTTGCGGCCAGATGCTGTGCGCTACACATCTCAATTGCAGCTGCATCATCCAGGCTCTGTAGTCGGTGTGGTCTCGAAGGACGACTGTCGCGTCTTAAGGAGGCTGGGTGGCCATTTTGTATCAATGGAGGCACTGAGACTCTTAATTATTAGATTAAAGCACTGTTTCTAGGCTTCCTAAGATAAATAATAGGTTTAGATATAATGTATAGGATAATTAATTAATTATGTTAATTATGTTTATTTATTAATCCTTTTTTCTGCTCTACTTGTGTTACTTAGCTTTTTGTTTTGCCAATCTAAGTCCCTTGCGCACTTGCCCTATGCGCGACTAGCTTGCAAAATGCTGCAATTTTCTGCAATTTGCTGCAAACTGCTGCAACATGCTGCAATTTGCAGCAACATACTGTTCGAGCTTATTGCTTGTACTATGTAGCAGCTTTCGTCAAGCGTTCCTCCTGTCTTGACAGTAGGTGCGCAAATCTGACAACTAGAAATAAAGTAAGTTATAGCTCTTATAGCTGTTAATAACTAGTAGACAGTAGCTGCTAACAGTACACTTCTTTATATGCGCGTTAAAGTGCTTTAACTAGTCTAGACTAAGCTAATTAGTAGTCTAGCTGTGCTTAAAGATTATAATAACTTAATTTTAAAGTAGATTTTTCTTTTTATACTAGTTTAAAAAGTAGTTACTACCTTAGAAAATAATAAAGAGTAAAATAGCCTACTCTATAGTATTAATGCCCTAGATAGCTGTTGTCTACTTCTAGTTACCTAGCTAGACTACTTTTAGCTGTCCTTGTCTCTCTAAACCTATAATAACTGCTCTAGTAGATATCTAGCTTATTATAAACTCTGTTTTATTAAAGTTGTACATGTTATTATTCTAAATGCTATACTTAGCTTTAATATTTTCTATAAAGTTAAACTAGCTTTAAATTACTATAAAATTTTTATAAAAAGCTTTTTTATAGTTATACTTACACTTAAACTTTACTTTAAGCCTTAAGTAACACTTAATAAATATATTAAGCTAGTTTATGCTAATATAGCTTATATTATACTTAGCATGTAAAGAATTAGCTATATTAGCTATAGCTGCTAGCTAGGGGGGAAATCCTTACATATTTAGCTTAAGTATGTGCTAAATAATTACCTACTCTTTATTATTATCTAGCTTCTATAAGTTAGCTATATAATTAGCTTAAAAAAGTTGTTTAGTGTAAGGCCGGATGTCCCAGAACGGGCCAGTATGGCCTCACCTGACCTGTTTGGAGGTCGTATGACCTGTGCTTCGTATATAAGCATGAATCCTGACAAGCGAAGCTTGGCAGCGATTCGTCTCTCTTACAATACACTCCTATCTTTCTCCGAAAGCTTGCTCTCAGTGCTATCCGTGCTATTTACCATCCCATCTTTACATTTAGTGTGTTAGTTGCTTATTATCTTTTAAAAAACCCTATAGATAGCTGCAGCGTGTTAGTTAAAAAGTGTTATGTTTTATTTAAAAGCTTAGAGCGTAAGCTGCATCTAACATTCTTTTAACACATTTAAGTAGTGTTATTAGGAATGCATTAGTGTAGAAAGAGTAGTGTAGTAAGGTCTTAGCAAAAGTAAGCAACTTAGGTGTGTAAGCAACTCGCCTATAAAGTACGTTATAAGGACTAACTTTAAACTTTCACTAAATAAAAGTCTTTTAGCCTTAAAGTTACTAAAATAATTAAAAATAACATTAGGCTAGAAAAAATAAAGGCTGTAAGCTTTAAAGCTAGAGAGGATATTTTTAGCTATAAAAGCGTTCTCTTAAGTAGCCTAGAACATACAGAAGAAATCTTGCCTTATAATTGCTAAAATAGCCTAGGAATCCTCTATATATTACCCTACTTTATATAAGTAGGCCTGTAAGAGAGGCTAGAATAAAGTAATATTAAGCAGCTATAATATATAAGTACGATGAAAAAAATAAACTGCTAAGAAGATTTTATTATTATTATAGTACTTAATAAAGCTTATGTTAATGTAGAACCTACAGCTATTAAAAATAAGCAGTTAGTACTGCTATTAAGCCTTTACTTTAGTCTTTTAATTAAAAATAGTTTTTAACTATTATAGCCTAAAGTTATTATTTATCTATCTACTAAAAGATAAAGCAAAGAAGGCCTTATATATTATAAAATTAAAATCCTGCAGCTATAAGTCTTAAATGTTGCCTGTAATAGCATAGTAGATAAAGTCTAGAGATAGAGACAATCTATTAGCGTAGATAATAGCAATTGTTGTAATTTACTTGTAATTACTATCTTAAATAATCTGCTTAGTTCCTTCTTTTTTAATACCTTTATTAAGAGAAGACCTGCTTTATTTTTAATAGCACTTTACTAAGAAAGCCTTTTTTATTAATATTATACTAATTAATTTTTCACTTTAAGAGCTTAAAATAAAGCGTGTACTTAAAAGTAGAATTACCTTACTTTTTATCTTTATCTATACTAGTTGTTTACTTTAATACTAGGTTAAGTTAGTAGCGCTTAAGAAACCTATTAGGCTAAGAGCTGTCTGTCTGCTTGCTGCTTATTTTAGTAGCAAAGTTGCGTAGCATGCTTCTTATAAGTAGTAACTCTTACTTATAGAGCTTATTAACATATTGTACAAGCTCTAGCACCTAATAGTTGTTAAGAAGTTACTAGTTCTTATATTAGGCTGCACAGGAGCCCTATACCCTGCGCTACCTTTTTAACAGTGTAGATTATTTAACACTACGCTTTTTTGCAGTCTATGCAATATTAACTTTTTCTCTAGGCGTTAAGGATTTTAAAGCTGATAGCGCCTCTTTAATTAGGTCTAAATTAGTAGAGCAAACTTAATTTTATTTGTAGGAGTTTTACAAAAAGTGTGCATCAGGTGAGCCTGTGCACCAAGCGAGAAAAACGGGTAACGGCATCACAGCCTATAGCAGTAAAAGGTACGAAAACTCGGAAATCGGGAATGCTGCCCAATGTGTAAGGCGAGATGAAAAAGGCTAAGGGACACGAGGTGTAGAAAGTGTGAGCCGCTTTCGCAGAGGCGTTAGGTAGTGTTCGAGAATTAAGGCGATGAAAAGGGGAAAGAGGCGAGAAGGAAGCTTAGCGACGTCGATGCTCAGCCCTCAGGACAAATAATGGATACATTCGCATCAGCTAACGAGCAATGAGACTAGTGGATAGTGGATATTGTGGCTTCTCTCATCCACGCAGCTATATCATTCGTGCTCTGTCCTCAAGATGTTCATTTTCATCTCTTGGGGGAATGTTATGTTGATAGCATTATATTTGGGAATTGTTAGAGGAAGGTGCAGAGAAGCATGAAGAATAGTCCAAGTGGTCCACTTGCACTAAACTGGCTACCCGATTGACTCTGCCTATGAATCACTCTCTACCTCTAGCATGGAAAACGCAAAGCAATTTTAGGCCCACCTTGGCGCATGAAATCTATCTTTATAATGCCTTCTTTCTCGAGGATCTGAAAATATCTGCTACCTAGCCCCGTCGAACGGGCGGCGTGGAGGGACCCAATACGCTCTCACGGGCTGGTAGAAGAAAGAAAGCTGCATTTAAATGGTCTGACACCACCTGTTCAATGTGCGCCTTCGGCGCCTATGGAAGGACCTCGTCACGAATCTGCTGTCCTAACATTTTCAACCTGCGCAGACTTGCAGGCGTCTCACAGAGGCTCCAGCAGAGACAAATCACATAGCCCTCTTTGCGATCGAGGTGTGGTATTGACACATTAAATGATTTGACGCACCCGCACACACACTATAACAAATAACTTTACTAAAATAAAATAAAAGCTGTGCTAAAAGTATAGAAGAAACTATCAAAGTTAAGACTACACCTTACACTACTATAACCTTAAATGCTAGAAGATAAGTATATAAAATATACTTTTAAAAGCGGTATAATTTATAAAAGATAGAATAAACATAGTAACTCATATAAATGCTTTTCTCTATAGTATATACTAAAAAAATCCTTATATTAAAATAAACATTAATAAAACTTACCACTTAGAAATTAAAAGTATAAATAAATAAAGCAACATACTAGCTATGTAAAGTACTATACTATAATTTACTTTAGTTTTATAAAAACTACTAACACACGCTATAGGCAAGTTGCTTACAGACCTAAGTTACTTACTTTTACTAAGACCCTACTAAACTACTTTTTTAATACTAATGCATTTCTAACAACACTACTTAGATGCGCTAAAAATATTAGATATAGCTTACACTTTAAGCTTTTAGATAAGACATAACACTCTTAAAGCAACATGCTACAGCTATGTATAAGGGCTTTTAAAAAAGAATAAATAACTAACATGCTAGATAACTTTTATAAGCTAATTCTACAGCTAACTTACAAAGGCTAGATAATAATAAAAAGTAAGTAGTTATTAAGCATATACTTAAGCTATATATGTAAGGATTTTCTTATTAGCTAGTAACTATAGCTAATATAGCTAATTCTTTACACGCTAAGTATAATTTAGGCTACACTAGCATAAACTAGCTTAGTGTGTTTATAAAGCATTATCTAGAGCTTAAAGTAAAGTTTAAGTGTAAGTATAACTAGAAAAAAGCTTTTTATAAAAATCTTAAAGTAATTTAAAGCAAGTTTAGCCTTATAAAGAATATATAAGCTAAGAATAGCATTTAGAATAATAACATGTACAACTTTAATAAAATAGGCTTTATAATAAGCTAGATATTTACTAACTATACTTATACTTAAAACTTTACTTTAAGTGTTAGATAAGACTTTATAAACATACTAAGCTAGTTTACACTAACATAGCCTAGATTATGCTTAGTGTGCAAAGAATTAGCTATATTAGCTATAGCTGCTAGCTAAGAGGAAAATCCTTGCGTATATAGCTTAAGCATAGGCTTAATAATTACCTACTTCTAAATATTACTTAGCCTTTATAAGTTAGCTGTAGAATTAGCTTATAAAAGTTACTTAGTGTGTAAATTATTATCTTTTTAGAGACTCTATACATAGCTAAAGCATATTATTTTAAAAGTGTTACATCTTATTTAAAAGCCTAAAGTGTAAGCTGTATCTAATGTCTATTTAGCATGTCTAAGTAGTGTTGTTAGGAATGCATTAGTATAAGAAAAGTAGTTTAGTAGGGTCTTAGTAAAAGTAAGTAACTTAGGTGTGTAAGCAACTTACCTGTAAAGTACGTTAGCATGTCTAAGTAGTGTTATTAGGAATGTATTAGTGTAAACAGAGTAGTTTAGTAAGGTCTTAGCAAAAGTAAGCAACTTAGATGTGTAAGAAACTTGCTTATAGTGTACGTTAGAAGATTTATAGTCTTTATATAACGTACACCACGGGCAAGTCGCTCACACACCCAAGTGTTACGATACTAACCTGGCAATACTGCCGGGTACCGGCCGGGGAGATAATTAGGTGGCGAGAGGTAATAGGGTTGGCGAAATAGTCGAGTGTACAGTCCGCCTTTCCGCGTTAACAGGGAGAGTGTGGCTTTCGTGGTTTGCCCCTTGCTACCGTACGAGCAGGTATTAGCCTTCCTTTTCGAAGCTCGGATGACATAATCAGACGTCTCGCTTAGCGCACAGGCAAGCATCTAATATACGTCTACTAATAATATCTACAAATATCTAGCTAGTACTAGAATACAGACGCTGACACACTAATTCTAGCTTAGCAACACCTTAAAACTATAAACAGTAATAAAGAGGCAAACTTTAGCCTACTAAGAACATAACACAGCATTATAATATTATATTAAAACATTTAGAATCTAGTAAGAAATCTAGTAAAATATATTTATTTACCTTAAAAATCTAGAAGGTTTATACAAGTAGTAGAAAGTTTTATAGGCTAATTAGACATTAATCTAGCTCTTTTTTAAACTAATAAGAGAAAAGGGTTGGTAAGATGTGCAGTGATTAATAGAGATGAGGAATAGATGAAGATGTTTATTAAAGAGAGAGTATGAGTGTATTGTGCAGTGCTGTCGGAAGCTCCTGTACTACTCTAGTCTATCCTGTAAAGAAAGAAGAAGATAAAGATTGATCACAGCCTTCCTAAGGATGGTCGGGATCAAGACTATATACATAAGGTTGCGCGCCCGAGCATGCACGACGTGCACAGCAGGCACTCCCATGGCAGCGCGCATGCTATCTGAACGCTTCCGGGGTCATGTGACTTTCCGTCCTGCTCCGTTGTCACGTGACCTGTACTACCTGCTCATAGATGAACATCTCCCACCATTAGTCCTCAGACCATAGCTTAGTGCTCGGACATTTGCTTACAGTTCTATTAGGGATTGTGACACTAAGTTACTTACTTTTGCTAAGACCCTACTAAACTACTCTTCCTACACTAATGCATTCCTAATAACACTACTTAGGTGTGCTAAAAGCATGCTAGATATAGCTTACACTTTAGGCTTTTAAATAAAATATAACACTCTTAAAGTAACATGCTGCAGCTATGTATAAAGTCTTTTAAAAGATAATAAACAGCTAACACATTAAATAACTTTTATAAGCTAATATTATAGCTAACTTATAAAGGCTAGATAATAATAAAAAGTAGGTTATTATTAAGCATATAATTAAGCTATATATATAAGAATTTTCTTCTTAGCTAGTAACGTACCTAACGGGTTGGCCGGCCACACGGGTTGGCCAGCCACTTTTGCCAAGCCCCCACTAAACTCTACCTATCTACATAATGCTTTAACAACAACACTAGATTAAATCTTTTAAAGAACATTAGATACAGCTTGCTTTTTAGGCTTTTAAATAAGACTTAAAACTCTTCTTATAACGCGCTGCAGCTATCTATAATGTCTTTTACACAACACTAAGCAATTAACGCGCTAGACAGCCTTTATAAGCAAAATGCTAGCCTAAATTAAGGAATCTAACTAAGCTTAAAAAGAAAGTAGTTATTAAGTACATACTTAAGCTTATTACGCGTAGATTTCCCTCTAGGCTTGCAGCTATAGCTAATATAGCTAATTCCTTGCCTATAAAGCGCAATCTAGGCCAGGTTAGCTTAAACTAGACTAGTATGTAGGTTAAGCACTGCCCTAAGTTTATAATAAAGTTTAATTATAAGTATAATTATAAAAAAGCGCTTTATAAGGATCTAGAGGTTATCTAGAGCTAGTTTTGCCTAGTAGCTAACATAAAAGCTAAGTACAGTATCTAGAATAAAGACAGGTATAACTTTAATAAGTTAGGCTTTATAATAAGCTAGATATTAACTAGAGCAGTTATTACAGCTTTAGAGAGATAAGAATAGCTAAAGGTAATATAGTAAAGTAATAAAAAGTAGATAATAGTTATCTAGAGCATTAATATAATAAAGTAGGCTATAAAATTATAAAGCTTTAAGCAGTAAATAAGGCTGCTATATAAGATAAATTGCATAAAAGAAAGCAGATTTAGGCAAAAGAGACCTTAATAGTTAAAGATAGGGCTTGTCTAACTGCTCTAAAAGAGTTTAAAGCGCGTAGTAATAAGAAGAAGCTAAAGACGTAGGTGCACGCTAAAAAAGGTAAGCTAAGTTAAAAGTAATGTAAGCAGTGTAATTAGACTAGGCATAACTTATGTACATATAAGTAAGTAGTAGAAGTAGACTCTAAATAATATCTTATGTTGTATTACTTTATATAGGGCTAAAGTGGGCTGTTTTGCGAGAGAATAGGGTGGTTTTAGTAGGGGCTTAGCAAAAGTGGCCGGCCAACCCGTGTGGCCGGCCAACCTGTTAGGTACGTTAACTATAGCTAATATAGCTAATTCTTTACACGCTAAGTGTAATCTAGGCTATGTTAGTATAAACTAACCTAGTACATTTATAAAGCATTATTTAAAGCTTAAAGTAAAGTGTAAGTGTAAGTATAACTATAAAAAAGCTTTTTATAAAATTCTAAGGTAATTTTAAGCTAGTTTAGCCTTAGAAAGAATATATAGGCTAAGTATAGCGTTTAAAATAATAACACATATAGCTTTAATAAAATAGACTTTATAATAAGCTAGATATTTACTAACTATACTAACACTTAAAACTTTACTTTAAGCTTTAAATAACACTTTATAAACATACTAGGCTAGTTTATGCTAATATAGCCTAGATTATGCTTAGCGTGTAATAAATTAGCTATATTAGCTATAGTTGCTAGCTAAGGGGAAAATCCTTACATATATTACTTAAGTATATATTTAATAATTACTTGCTTTTTATTATTATCTAGCTTTTATAAATTAGCTGTGAAATTAACTTATAAAGGTTATTTAGTATATTAGTTATTTATTATTTTTTAAAAGACTTTATATATAGCTGCAGCATATTACTTTAAGAGTGTTATATTTTATTTAAAAGACTATAGTGTAAGCTGTATCTAATGTTCTTTTAGCATGTCTAAGTTATATTATTAGAAATACATTAGTGTAAGAAAAGTAGTTTAGTAGGGTCTTAGTAAAAGTAAGTAACTTAGGTGCGTAAGCAACTTGCCTGTATGTAACAATTCTTATGAATTGTTCCATCTCGGGCGGCCCGGAACCTCCAGAAGGCCCTCGTATCGGCCCCGACCTCGACCTGGCCCCGACTCTGCCCAGCCCCCTGCTGTTACCCCTATTCCCTTATATATTTAGTTGTACCTCCTATGTAGCTAGCTCAGTAGTTTTTGGATATCCTCTGTATAAGGCCTATAGGTGTCAATGGCATTCCCAGGTTCTGAGTCCCCACGCACTCCCATATGCCTCTAAGTGGATTCCCACCGCATTCAGACCCATTGTCTTGCCTGCGCTGTTACACTGTAGTGTACGTGATCTTTTTATTTTATAGCGCAGTTGCTGCTAAGCCTCTGGCTGTTTTCTTGCTTTACTAAGGTTGCAGCTACCTTTTTAACTGTAGCTGTTTTGTTATTGCATAACTTATAATATAAGCTACTTTACACGTTATTATATTCTTATTATGCTAGCTTATTAAGCATTTACATACTCGTAGTAACATTTACATAATGTACTATAGCTATTATTTTTAATTTATACTACTTACTTTTCTTCTAAAGTTATTATTCTAATACCTTTAATTCTAGTAATACTATACACTACTAGTAGCTTATAAAGTAACTCTTGCTTTACTTATAAATACTCTAATGTACTCTATATACATGTTACCTACACACTTAGATTTCTTACTTTTACTAAAATTATACTAAACTACTTTTTCTACACTAATGCGCTTATAATAATACTGCTGTAATATGTTAAAAGAATATTAAATATAGCTTATCCTTTAAGCTTTTAAATAAAATATACCACTTTTTAATTAATATACTATAGCTGTCTGTACGTAAGTGCGGCTGCGTCTGTACGTGCGTACAGCTAAATTAAGTTGCCTAGAACAGTTAGGTATCTAGCCTATACATTAGAGGCTATGTATACTTAACAACCCTTCCTTTTTGTATAAGAAGAGAGGCTAGTAGTGAATTATAAGAAGATTCGTGCCTACTTACCCTTATTATAGGCTGTACGCTTAGCGTACAGCTGCCCACCACCTACCGTGTGCGTAGCCACGCAGAGAAGGGACCTACTACTAGATGCGTAGCCATCTTAAAGAGTAAGCTAACTAACAATTGCTATATATAAAATTCTTTAATAAATAATAAATAACTAACATATTAAATAGTTTTTACAAGCTAATTTTATAGCTAATTTATAAAAGCTAAAAACTAATTAACAGTAAATAATTATTAAGCATATACTTAAGTTAAATATATAAGAATTTTTCTTTTAGCTAGCAGCTATAGCTAATGTAGCTAATTATTTATAAACTAAGCATAATCTAGACTCTATTAGTATAAACTAGCTTAGTATGTTTATTAAGTGTTATTTAAAGCTTAAAGGAAAGTCTATATATAAGTATAATTAAAAAAATTTAGTCTAACGTACTTTACAGGCGAGTTGCTTACACACCTAAGTTGCTGTTACGGCCAACAGACAGACCGTTATGACCTAATTAGCTGTCCCACACAGCCTCAGCGACGTTGGATGGAAGACGCTTAGCTCCGCGTTGAACGAATCACGTGACAAGACAGATGAGGAATGGCTTTAGCTTTTAGACAAAAGCCTAGCGGAGTGTACTGTCTAATAAGGACTGCAGGTTTGCAGGTTTGCAGGCCATGCAGGCTACGCAAGCATGCAAGCATGCAAACATGCAAAGCATGCAAACCCCATGTATATAGTCTTGATTACAACTATAGTTAGAAGGTTGTGATTACTATTTAGTCTTTACCTATATAATAGACTAAGAGGCATTAAAACCTTTCTAAAGAGGACATTGCCGCCTTATATATCTTGCACTATATATACCTCCTTTCCTATCTTTTTAGATTAGGTTTGCCAGCTCCCTATACAGCCGCTGGGCCAAACCACAACCTGCCTTCTCCACCTCCGCCTCTCCCTATACTCTGCTCGACGGACTGTACACCCGATCTAGCTAAGTCCTTCCCCTCTTCCGCTAACAACACCACAGGCTGTAGTGCTCCCGAAAATACCATTTCGCCGGAGCAAGGATTGTAACAGTTGCTTACTTTTACTAAGACACTACCTAAAAAGACATTAAATACAGCTTACGCTCTAAGCTTTTAAACAAAACGCAACACTTTTAAAATAACATGCTGCAGCTATGTATAGAGTCTTTTAAAAAATAATAAATAACTTACACACTAAACAACTTTTACAAGCTAATTTTATAGCTAGCCTATAAAGGCTAGGCAATAATAAGAAGTAGGTAATTATTAAGCTAATACTTAAGCTATATGCGTAAGGATTTTCCTCTTAGCTAGCAGCTATAGCTAATATAGCTATGTTAGATATGCGCACCTACTGTCAAGACAGGAGGAACGTTTGACGAAAGCTGCTACATAGTACGAGCAATAAGCTCGAACAGTATGTTGCTGCAAATTGCAGCATTTTGCAGCATTTTGCAGCATTTTGCAGCATTTTGCAGCATGTTGCAGCAAATTGCAGCAAATTGCAGCATGTTACAGCATTTTGCAGCATTTTGCAGCATTTTGCAGCATGTTGCAAGCTGGTCGCGCATAGGGCTGGTGCGCGAGGGACTCGGATCGGAAAAACAAAAGCCGAGCAACACGAGTAGAGCTTAAAGTAAAGTTTAAGTGTAAGTATAACTATAAAAAAGCTTTTATAAAAATTCTAAGGTAATTTAAAGCTAGTTTAGCCTTATGAAGAATATTAAAGCTAAGTATAGCATTTAGAATAATAACATATATAACTTTAACAAGATTAGCTTTGTAATAGGCTAGATATTTACTAACTATACTTATATCTATAACTTTACTTTAGGCTTTAGATAATGCTTTACAAATGTACTAGGCTAGTTTATGCTAATATAGCCTAGATTATGCTTAGCGCGTAAAGAATTAGCTATATTAGCTATAGCTACTAGCTAAAGGGAAAATCCTTGCGTATATAGCTTAAGTATAGGCTTAATAATTACTTACTCTTTATTATTACCTAGCCTTTGTAAGTTAGTTATAGAATTAGCTTGTAAAAGTTATTTAGCATATAAGTTATTTATTATTTTTCAAAAGACCTTGTACATAGCTGCACTATGTTATTTTAAGAGTATTATGTCTTGTTTAAAAGCCTAGAGCGTAAGCTGTATGTAATGTTCTTTTAGGCGCGTCTAAGTAGTGTTGTTAGGAATGCATTAGTGTAGAAAAAGTAGTTTAGTAGGGCCTTAGTAAAAGTAAGCAACTTAGGTGTGTAAGCAACTTGTCTATAAAGTATGTTATTATAAAGACTATTTTATTAAAGTTATATATATTATTAGTTTAAATACTATACTTAGCTTTACTGTTTTTTATAAGGCTAAACTAGCTTTAAATTACTTTATAATTTTTATAAAAAGATTATTTATACCTATGCTTATACTTAAACTTTACTTTAAGTTTTAAATAATACTTAATAAATATACTAAGCTAGTTTATACTAGCATTGCCTATATTATACTTAGTGTGTAAAGAATTAGCTATATTAGCTACAGCTACTATCTTAAAGGAAAATCCTTACGCATCTAGCTTAAGTATAAACTTAGTAACTACTTACTTTTTATTATTATTTAGCCTTTATAAGTTAGTTATATAATTAGCTTATAAAAGTTATCTAGTATATTAGTTATTTATTATTTTTTAAAAGACTTTATATATAGCTATAGCATGTTACTTTAAAAGTATTACATCTTATTTAAAAGCCTAGAGTATAGCTATATTTAATATTCCTTTAGCACATTTAAGTAGTGTTATTAGAAATAAATTAGTGTAAGAAGGGTAGTTTAGTGTAGGCTTAGCAAAAGTAAGTAACTTAGGTGCGTGAGCAACTTGCTTGTAGTGTATGTTATAAAATCTACATTTTTTTTAAGACGTGCTAAGACTATTTATGCAAATATTACAAGTTTGCTCATTTTTAGCAATACGCGCTAATATTGATTAATAACAATATTGATTAATCTAATTAGTACACATTGAAATTAAAATCACGCTGTTCTTAGGTAGGTTCAGACGAGAGCTTCTTCGGCGACTTGAATGTTTGCAGCGTGATCCCATTTCGTATTCGGCGCTCTGCCAGCTAGTACCGATGGGGGAGATATCAGCGAGGGCATTCACAGTCATGACCAATGTACTGAATGACACGGACTGGGGAGATTGCGCAAGATCAAGTCGCTATTGCTAGATTGGTCAGACTTTAGTTTGGTTGCTGAGATACTTGCCTCGAGATCGAGATCTGGATATCGATGTTTGTGGATTGGAGGAAAGGTGGACTGGAATTGGAGCCTTTGTTTTTCATGCCTAGATTCAAACAGCCACTTTAATTTATTCTAAAACTTGTTGGTCTCTTTTGTTTTCTGCATCTTTGAATCCTTGTTCTGTTGCTGTCGAAGACGGCGCTAGAAAAGGCTTGGGAAATTGATGAAAAGCGCTAGCAAAGTAACAAGAGTAGTCGCACACAACAAGAGAAAGATAGTGCCCTGTGGGGAGTTGAAGACAAATTACTTTGGAGATGAAGTATTATCGCGACGGATTGGTGGGATCAGTGCATCAATGAAGGCGATTGGTGGTCGAATGGAAGGTGTGGCTGCGGTGGGAGCAGCCACGCGCGATCAACTATACTAGCAAAAACGGCTCGGTACTGAGCAGGTACAACATCTCCAGCCAGAGCAGCACTACGCTCAATAAGATCACTAAGGTCCCTCACTGCGTGGCGAGACACAACCTCACCCAGACCTTCGGGATCGCACTACAGTAACCATCTGGCATTATATTTAATATATTATAAATCTACGCCTATCTTTCTTTCTAAGCTATATATGATCCTCCGGTAATATAGAGACCAGTATTCTGAGAGATCATATTTCGCCTAACAAGTATACGATATACGGAGAAATTCCCGGAATATACAGTCTTTATTTAATCCAAACCTTAAAAGTCTATGGACTTAATATTTAGAATCTAAGCTCCCTTTGTAGTCTCCTTAGCATCTAATAAATATTTGTTGTCACGAATAAACAGGGAGGTATTGGAGAAGGGTTGATTGGCGGTGCTAACAAGAAGATCAACAGTGTGACTAACACCACGCTTTTTCTCGTCGGAGGCTAATGTACTAGGAGAACAATAGATATAGGACTGATGCGCATACAACCTGTATTTATATAAGCGTGGTATAATAATCGCGAAGGTCCAAAAAAAAACAAAGCGTCTCGCTACACGGTGTGTCTCGCCATGCAGTGAGGGACCTTATAACACGGGGAGGTAAGTCTTATGGACAATCTTTTTGCTTTAAGCAGCAGTCAAATCCTGTCAGCCTCGCGTCTCTCGACCTAGGGTTAGGAACGACTTAAACGACCTAAACGACCTAAACGACCTAAACGACCTGAGCGACCTGAGCGACCTTAATGCCACCTGCGCTTAGAGTGCTTACGACTGTATTGCACTAGCTAAACATGATTTCCCAATTCTATGTGTTTGGTCAGAACAGAGAACTAGAAGTACCCCTTAATGCCTGAGGCATCGAGAGATCATAGAAATCAGGGTACGCTTTTGCCGTATTACGGAAGGTTGATACCAACTATACATATCAATTGATCATACAATTCACGATAGCTCTGCTGTTCCATTGGCCTAGTTAACTAACAGGAGTATACGCAGCATCTCTGGAGCCATTTATTCTTCATCAGTGCTGTTGAATATACCTTTGAATTTGAATCTCACTTCGCTACCGTGTAGGACTCCACAAACTTGAGGAGAACTTGATTGAAGATGCCACGCCGACCCCATACCAAGCTCCCTTTTGGATGTAATGTCTGCAAAATTGGAGAGTGAAGATATGGATTCTGATCTTAGCCACCGAACACCTTCAGTCTTGTCGTGTAATCGATATCAAGTATACATCATACATCTCGTTAGTGTCGTTCATATCGTTTATGTCGTTTACATCGTTTATGTTGTTTAGCATTTTACGTCGTGCTATTGATGCGATTCTAGCCCTGCCTTGCATGAGTAAGCGGTCTGTTATGCTTCAGATAAGCAATGTGTCGTAAGCGCCTCACCATTCCTGTCATATTCTGCGGGCATTGGCTCGGGAACTTCTTCGGCTTGCACGCCTGGGCCAATGGATACTACATAACCGACAGGCTTTTGCCAAGTCTAATATTTCAAGGGGCTGTTCACTCACGTATCCGCTCAAGCAGGGAGGTTAAAAAGACCTACTCTAAAGTATAAAGACTCTGGTAACCTTTCCAATGTTACCTTCAACCTTTCCTACCTTTCCTACCTATCCTCAATACCGCCGCCATGCACTTTACCTACACTTTTGTTTTTGCGGCTATGTGGAAGCAAGCCTCTGCGTTACAACACATCGACTCAAATGGGCTGAACATTAGGGAGGTTGCTAGAATTATCTCTACTAACAGCACATTGAAGCCATACCACTTCACTTGGCGAGCCCCGTCCGCAGATGATGAACGTGCTCCATGCCCAATGCTCAACACTCTTGCAAACCACGGCTTCCTCCCGCACAACGGTCGCGACATTACGCGCGATATCTTCTTGAAAGCCCTCACCGATGCTCTAAATTTTGATCAAGAAAGTGTGGACAGACTCTTTACCGGCGCTCTCAGCGCTGTGCCCAAGTTCAACTCTACTGTAAGCTGCCTTGATTTATTATAGAACTGATGCTGATCTACCTCCAGTCATTTGATCTCGGCATGCTCCACGTCAAGAACTTTATTGAACACGATGGAAGCACCTCTATGCAGGACGTGATAGTCGAACCACATGCTGTTTATCATGAACCCACCTTTAGGAACTTCATGAGCTACATCCCGAAAGACGCAAGCAGTATCACCATTCCTGCTGCTGCCAATGCCAAGGCCCGCCATTTCAAGGACATGAGCGAGATCAATCCACGATTTAGCATCTTGCAGAGCCAACAGACGCCGATAATGCTCGAGATGGCATCGACATTTCTCGTCTTTAGTCAGGCCACACAGAACGTCGCTAACCGGTCCTACTTTGAATACTTTTTCCGTAAGTAAACTGGGTTTAATGTTATTCGTCATCTGATGACCAGATAGGCAACCAACGATTACCGGTCGAGCTCGGTTGGGCCCCGCCACGGATGGAGATTCTTTTCACCAACAGGTCTAGGGAGATTGCAGCTGCGCTGATCAAAGAATTACCCACGGACGTTCCATTCCTGTATAATCCTAGTGATATGGGGTCAGCCTAGTCAAGTGACCATTATTAGTCAAGCGACCTATTTCTCATAAAACATACTAGATTGCTTGGCAGAATAGGCAAAGATCAAAAGGATTTGTTAGCTATCACGCATATAACAGGAGTACAAGACCTATATTTATGTAAAAGAGTAAGGTCCTATTGTGCCGCATCTCTGCTGCAGAATCGGCCTGACTTCTCTGCAAATTCTAATATCGCATCCAATTCCTTTTTCACTATATCCTTTGATATCATTGAAGTCATGCTGTTGATACGGGGCCCTATCCATATCCGTAGCCTTTGTCGGAACCCCTGGAGTCTCGGGAAGTCGATGAACACGTGCGCTAACGTCTCTTTCTCCGCACTCGTAGGCTTCGTCCTGCAGTTTTCCGAATCTTTTGCGGTAGCTATTGAGCCAGGAGTGGCCCGTTCACATTTGCGCCGATAAGTTTGCTTGGCGCCTAGGTCGTCAGTCGTACAGTTTGCGCACGTGTTTTCCTGGCAGATGTCCTGGTGGCCGGGGACCCAGGCAAGTTGTAGCTTGATGTTGCTGTCCTTGCTGAGTCGTTCAGCTTCTATGAGCGTCCGCTGAATGATGTGATGTCCTGACTGTCTTTGCGGATTGGCTATTGCTTGGATTGCGGCCTTTGAGTCACTGAGGACGGTGTAGGAGTTCGGAGTAGGGGCTTGGTTAACAGCGTTTCTCATGTGGTTTCTACGGATCATGACCAGGGCAAATTATATTGCGATGAGCTCCGCTGCATATACTTTCCAAAAGCTGTTCGACCCTCCACCGATACATATCTTGTGCTCTATCTCCTGTTGAGATCTTAGCACTGTGGCCGCTGCGCCGAGATTGTTATTCTTTCCAGAACCGTCCATAAAAACCACAGATCGTGGGTCAGCTGAGAGTAATTCTTACATCTTTTTGGCTTCATCTCCGCCAAGCGCGGCCTTTATCGTAGGAAAGGGTGAGCATCTCTACGGCTCGGGCGGTACTAAGCAGGGATGTTGTCGATCACGTGATCTCAAGTAATCAATCAGTCACCTGATTGATTACTTAAGTGCAATTATCGCAATTAAGCGCTATTAACAATCTTACAATTCTCGCCACCTAATTGTGTTCTAGATATTATATAACTACTAACGTATTTCACAAGCAAGCGGTCCACACAAGTAAATAGTCTACTCTAATAACATTTTATTTTATAACACTTCTATTAATTAATTATATAATAGAAAAACCTAATTTATAATATTTACTTTATAAATAGTATAAGTTTTCATTTATTAACTTTACTAGTAGTAGTAGTTATAGCATAATTAATTTTATAGTGTATTAGCTAATATTATACGATTTTAGATTTTTCTATATATTTTACTTATGTTGCGTCGCTAAAAGGTCAACCTTCTAACTAGCACAGCAGAAGAATATATATAGACGGATAATTGTATGCGACAGCTAATTATTTAATAGGTAATTTAAATTTACTTTAATTATAATGTATGTTACAAGCAAGTTTCTTACACACCTAAGTTACTTACTTTTACTAAGACTCTACTAAACTACTTTTTTATGCTAATGCATTCCTAACAACACTACTTAGACGCGCTAAAAGAACATTAGATACAACTTACGCTCTAGGCTTTTAAATAAAACGCAACACTTTTAAAATAACATGCTGTAGCTATGTATAAGGTCTTTTAAAACTAATAAATAATTTATATGCTAGATAACCTTTACAAGCTAATTCTATAGCTAACTTACAAAAGCTAGGTAATAATAAAAAGTAGGTAATTATTAAGCCTATGCTTAAACTATATGCGCAAGGATTTTCCTCTTAGCTAGTAGCTATAGCTAATATAGCTAATTCTTTGCACGCTAAGTGTAATCTAGGCTATGTTAGTATAAACTAGCTTATTATATTTATAAAGCGTTATCTAAAGCTTAAAGTAAAGTTTTAGGCATAAGTATAGTTAGTAGATATCTAGCCTATTATAAAGCCTGTTTTATTAAAGTTGTACATGTTATTATTTTAGATACTATACTTAGCTTTAATATTCTCTATAAATCTAAACTAGCTCTAAGTTACTTTAGAATCTTTATAAAAAGCTGTTTTATAGTTATACTTACACTTAAACTTTACTTTAAGCTTTAGATAATCTCTTATAACTTAAAGTAAAATAAAAGATTATATAAATCTAAGTTAAGTATATGCTCTATAATAACTAATTTTTTTTTAATTAGTTAATTTCTATACGTTAGCTTTATAATTATATTAATATATAAAGTGCTAAAATTTTATTAAAGTAGTGTAAAGCCGCTAGTCTTTACAGAGGATAATAATGCACTGTAAGGTTAGAAGCAGGTTGTACTACAGTCCTTACTCGCGACAAGTATATATATACTATTCTGTACGCAGATTAATTGTTGATTACTTATTCACACTATTTAGTTGTAATATTAGCGCAGTGGCATAGAGCTTTGTTCATACAAGTAGACTGTTTGCTTGTGTAGACTACTTGCTTATAAAATACGTTATATAAAGACCTCTAGCTAAGAATTAAAGATTTTACTCTTTTTCTTAGTATTTTAAGCCTTGTATTTACTTAATTCTATTTATAGACATCTATAATCTTTTCTTTAAGATTATAACATACTCTAATAATTTAAAAATGCTTTAAGAACGCAGAGCTTAGAATAGTTAGAGGTATGCATTAGTAGTAAAACTTTTAACTATCTCTATAAGTTCTAATTTAATTTATATAATTAATAGCTTATTTTAAAGCTTATTTTAATCTTAATATTTTCTTTTTATAATTTATTTTTATTCTAAAATTTTAGCTAGCTAATTTAGATAGAATTAAACAATATTTAGCAGCTAATAACTTTAGTAATACTAAATAGAAAATATAAAAGTAAAATTCTAGTTTTATAGTACTATATATACGTTATTAGATAAAGTAAGAAAACAAAGTAAAAAAAAGTATATTTTAAATTAAGAAAGTTACTACTAATATATAACAGAGTATTAATACTTAACTAGTAATTTATACGTACTACTCTATAAATTAATCTACTTAATACTTTATATATTAAAATCCTATTCGTTTAGGTATTAAACTAAGTATTACCTATAAGAATAGAATAGTAGGTAGCATAGATAGCACTAAAAGCAAGGTCTTTAGAGAAGTAGAAGTGTATTGTAAGAGAGATGAATCGCTTCCAAGCCTCGCTTGTTAGGATTCATGCTTATATACGAAGCACAGGTCATGTGACCTATAAACAGGTTAGGTGAGGCTATACTAGCCTGTTTTAGAACATTCAACCTTATATTAGCCTTTTAAAGTATAATATAGTACTAGCAATAGAGTAGTAATAGTAGTATATAAAGTAGTTTTTTTTCTAGAGGCGTTCCCCCCCTTGAACCCTCCCTATACATAGGCAGAGCTTAGAATAGTAAGAGGCATATAATAGTAATATATAAAGTAGCTGTTTTCTAGGGGCGTTTCCTCCTCTCTCTCTATACATAGGTATGTATGCTATCGTTGTTTAACCTCGAAGTTGACGTGGGTGGAAAGAACGATCTCATGAGTAGCTCGGCTTTTCCCTCGTTTCCGTAACCATTTGTTGTCCCGATGAAAGTGGTGGGAAATTGGAGTAGTCGGTCCCTGGCTCAGTGTATCTTGCGGCTTTCCAGAGTAAATTTCCGTTAGCTGCTCGGTCTAGGAAGTCTTTCCAGTGCTTAGACTTCGCGCACTCGATGGCCTTGGCCCATTCCTCCCTGCGCCCTTGCATTTGCAGGAATAACTCCTGCGTCGTTTGATGTTCGCGGCCGAGTCGAGCGGAGAACGTTTGCCATTGCCGTCTCGCTTTATTGTACGTTCTCCGTTTCTCTTTCAAGTCCGGGGTGAACCAACGTTTCGAATAAGGGCATGGATTTGCCAAGGGGTGAGTTCTTCAACAGTTGCTGCTGATATCCTGGTAAATTGCTCAACTGCCTCACCAAGTTGGTCTCATGTCTCGATCTCGGTGATGGTTCCAACGCGCTGTGTTATCAACTCCCCAACTCTGTTCTAGTCTGTCTGTTCGTACATTCGGCGCAGCGGTCTATCACTTCTGCGTTGGACGGGGAAGTTCCATTCAGAGAAGACTCCGCGATGGTCGGAGCCGTAGTTCTCACGGTAGATTTGGCATTTAGTGAGTCGGGATGACACGTTGCTCAGGGTCAGGTCGATCGTTGACCTGCTTCCTGGCCGAGTTACTGTCCGGCAAGGCGCTTCACCTCTTTGGAGCTGGTGATACAGGTTGTGCTGTTCCATGAAGCTGATCAGGCTTGCGGATTCTCCTACCCTGTATGGTTGGATGTTGTCACCTCGCCACATGGGGTCTTGACGGCTGAAGTCTCCCCCTATTATCATCTCGCACCGTTCATTGGGGTCCGCCGAATTCTGTGTGATCGTTGCGTTGAGGGCTTTCAGGATGGCCTGGAGTTCAGTTTCTGCTACTTTGCGGGTACCGCCAATGGGTGGGACGTAAACGGAGAAGATTAGGACTGGCCCCAAGGATGTATTGACTGCTACTCCTGTAGTGTCAAGACTATCGCATTGAATTCGTCTCTGCGCTGACGGCGAGAGTCATTTGTTGACGTAGATAAGGCTGCGGCAACGTCCTTGGCTAATGGAGGTGGGATTTGGTTGATACAGCTGGCAGCAGGGATGTTGCGTATGTGTTCTGTAGTAAGAGACGGAGGGCTCTTGGATCAAAAGAATATCAAGTTCCGCTGTTTGCGTGTCGTTGATCAGGGCCTCCATGCAGGCATTAGACTGCATAGCGTTCAATTGGAGTATCCGGAGGGACGTCGTTATACGAACCGCGGAAATCTGGTGGCCCGATTGGTGCATTCCACAGCTTGCGTATGGTGATTCTGATTGCAGTCCGCGCATCGGGCTTGGGACCCTCCCGGACAGTCACTTTTATCATGGTCATCCAAACAATAGGCACATCTCCGTTGTTCCTTGCAGTTCCAAGCTAGGTGTCCCACGCTCAGGCAGCGGTAGCATCTCTTTCTCCTCGGTTCGTATGGTTCGACACTGCCTATGCATTGGCTTCCGAAAACAACCCCGTTTCAAATAGCCCATTCTACCGCGCTCGGACTGTCGAACCATACACCTAGGGAGGCATGTCTTCCCAAGGGTGTGTCCTTCCGTTTGAGCCATGCCATGTCTACGATGCGGAAGCCTCTTGAGCTAAAATCGTTTTCTTCTAGGAGCTTGTCCATCCATGGCTGCGCCTTTATCGCCCAATCTGACTTCATCGTTTGGGGTGCGGTGGATCACGATTCCATACCGGGGTCTGTCGATTTTGGTTTTCGGATGAAGGTCTGCTAGCCATTCATGTTTGGACGCCAGTTCTTTAGATCTTTCATCTCTGAAGCGGATGACATAGCCGAATCTAGTAATTCCTACACCTGCTATTTTTGTCTCTTTCGTGCTTTCGTGCTTTCGTGCTTTTCCAGGGTATCGATCCATACTGTTGCCCTTTTTGCGTCCAGGTACCTAGTGAATTGTTGCGCTGATTCGCCGCGTTTCCCCCAGACCCATCTTCTTGCGTCACCTGAGGGATTGTGATCCGCAAGGTTGTGGGTCCAGCCACGCTTTGGTTGCTGGTGTCGGTGGACTGCGAGAGAGAGAGGCTGGGCTAACTCGGGATACCGCTTAATGCG